ATTTGATATTTTACAAGTTAAAAAAATTAATTTATTAAAAATTAATTAAATTTAAGTGGAAATCTTTATTTACCTTTTTTAGTATTTTTATTATGAAAGGGTTATGTATAAATGTAGCAAAACCTTGATATAGCGGACTAACACCCTTGTGAGACTGAAGATGCACGGCTAAACCCGAAACTTTCTAGTTCTAGTTCTAGGTCTAGTAATTCTAGATATGGTTTAATGACAAAAATACAAGAATCTAACGCTGAATATCAACTAAAACTAGAACTAACACTAGCATTACAACTAACACCTGAGCTAGAACTAGAAACATTCGGATTTAGCCGTCTTAAAAGACGTGCGGCTAAACCCAAATGATTCTAGTTTTAGGTCTAGTGTTAGTTCTACTCTTAGTTCAATAAAAATCTACAATCTAGCGTTGAATAACAGTTAAAAAAGTTTCATAGTTTGTTCAAAGTTAGCCGTCTTTAGAGACGTGTGGCTAAACGCAAATGATTCTAGTTTTATTTCTAGTGTTAGTTCTAGTTTTATATCATTAGAACTAACACTAGACCTAGAACTAGAATCATTCGGGTTTAGCCGTCTTTAGAGACGTGCGGCTAAACCCAAATGATTCTAGTTTTAGGTCTAGTGTTAGTTCTAGTTTTACACTAGCACTATCACTAGAACTAACACAAGACCTAGAACTAGAATCATTCGGGTTTAGCCGTCTTTAGAGACGTGCGGCTAAACCCAAATGATTCTAGTTTTAGGTCTAGTGCTAGTTCTAGTTTTATATCATTAGAACTAACACTAGACCTTATAACTAGAATCATTCGGGTTTAGCCGTCTTTAGAGACGTGCGGCTAAACCCGATTGTTTCTAGTTCTAGGTCTAGTGTTAGTTCTAGTTTCATATCATTAGAACTAACACTAGACCTAGAACTAGAATCATTCGGGTTTAGCCGTCTTTAGAGACGTGCAGCTAAACCCAAATGATTCTAGTTTTAGGTCTAGTGTTAGTTCTACTTTTAGTTCAACGACAAAAATACAACAATCTAACACTGAAGAACAAGTACAACTAGAACTAACACTAGCATTAGAACTAACACCAGACCCAGAACTAGAATCATTCGGGTTTAGCCGTCTTTAAAGACGTGCGGCTAAACCCGATTGTTTCTAGTTCTAGGTCTAGTGTTAGTTCCAGTTTCATATCATTAGAATTAATACTAGACCTAGAACTAGAATCATTCGGGTTTAGCCGTCTTTAGAGACGTGCGGCTAAACCCAAATGATTCTAGTTTTAGGTCTAATGTTAGTTCTAGTTTTATGTCATTAGAACTAACACTAGACCTAGAACTAGAATCATTGGGGTTGGGTTGGGTTAGGTTAAAGATAGCTAACTTTATAAACATGTGGATAAACCCAAATGATTCTTTAGATCTAGTATTAGTTCTAGTTTTAGTTCAACGACAAAAATACAACAATCTAACGCTAAATAACAAGTACAACTAGAATTAACACTAGCATTACAACTAACACCAGACCTAGAACTAGAAATATTCGAGTTTAGCCGTCTTTAGAGACGTGCGGCTAAACCCAAATGATTCTAGTTTTAGGACTAGTGTTAGTTCTAGTTTTATATCATTAGAACTAACACTAGACCTAGAACTAGAATCATTGGGGTTGGGTTGGGTTAGGTCAAAGATGGCTAACATTAAAAACGTGTGGATAAACCCAAATGATTCTTTAGATCTAGTATTAGTTCTAGTTTTCGTTCAACGACAAAAATACAACAATCTAACGCTAAATAACAAGTACAACTAGATCTAACAGTAGCATTACAACTAACACCAGACCTAGGACTAGAAATATTCGAGTTTAGCCGTCTTAAGAGACGTGCGGCTAAACCCGAATGTTTCTAGTTCTAGATCTAGTGTTAGTTCTACTATTAGTTCAATAAAAAGTTACAATCTAGTGCTGAATAACAATTAAAGCTAGAACTACCGTTCTTGATTTCTGTTACATTGAGGTTTTATTGTAATTAAGTCACTTTCACACACTTTTCAAATTTACCACTTTTCTATTTTATTTAAGTAATGAATTATTTTTCACATTATTTTCAAAAAAAACTTGTTAACTTAGTAATTTTAAAGTAAATATACTGACATAGTGACTTACTAACTGACTGACCGTACTCTAATGTAGATGATCGCTAACTGATCTCTACGCGAAACTCGGGTGGCTCAAGCAATAAAAGGGCCCACTGAATCATTGTCAAGTCGAAAATTTATTGCCTTTGCACCCTACAAGGCTAAAAGGGGCACAATGCGCCCTCTGCGTCTTTTTCCAACGGCCAAGGGTGTTAATTTTGTTCCTCAGAGAGCGTTTTAGTTCTCACACGTGTGTGGATAATTCTGCCGTTCGATGTTTAGTCATGTCCCATTCGATGCTGGAAGTAAATTGTTTAATTTTTAATTTATTTAATCCATAAATCCGGATGTTTGTTGTTTCCCCCCGGATGGAGGTTTACGGAACAAGGCCAAAACCGACCAGAAGGTCCACGAAACGCGCATTCCTAATTAGTCTAAGGGCACTAATTAGTTCCAGGAGAAGTTTCTACCCCCGTGTTGTACCCTTCGAAGAGTAACAGTTTGAGAGGGTCGCTTACGAACAACAAACGGGAAACTAGACGATGACGACGACGACGACGCCGGTTCGTTTTCTCTTCTTCAAGTCCTTCGATGGTAGGATAGAGAGTAGGGATCCTGCGAGTCAAGGGTGGCCCTGGACTCCGGGCGCACAGCCGTCCTCGATCATCAATCATCCTGGTACAATCGCTACGCTCGCAGCTGTCGCACAGACTGACGTCGCATCAGCCACCGGCTTCTACCGGGTTTACTGTCTAATATTATACAGAGTGACTACTAAAAAAAATATATTTTGTTAAAAAAAAAAATATAAAATGAAGATCTTGGTCTCGACTTGAAATGGGAACGAAAACATAGCTTTAATTTAGATAAGGTCCGACATATTCACAGAAAAGTGTATTTTCGGGCGGAACAGTTTCACTGATAGAGCCCAAGTGCAAGTTGCTGATTGCAGTCGACCCTCCTAAACGTTCCACTTTAACTTCTCCGACTCCTTTCGCTGATTACCACCCTTAAAAAAATATATAAATAACAAAAAAAAAATAAAGATATCTTTATTTGAATTTTAAAACATTTTCATGTATTTCTATTTTTTTAAATGATAAGAAAAATCTTTAAAAAGAATGATATTGGAGCAATTTCCATAAACGGACGGTAAAATATCCTGTTAAAATGGGGAAGGGATACAGACGATGACAGGGTTGTGACGTGCTGACGTCACTCACCCCCCACCCGCATCGTTGAAACCCGGGGAAGCTTCGGGGATGATATATGGCGTCTGTTACGAGATCACATGCTGCCATAATTTAAATCAATTCGTACGTATCATCGCTCAGAGCTTGCGAAAAAACAGGAGGAATCGTTCATTCAATAATAATGCGATTTTTGGCATCCCCCTGGTGTATTTTTAATCAACTTGATGCAATTTAGTTTCAATGAGTTTCAATTCTTATATCTAACACTAGTGTCATGGTACAAGGTTAAAATTCTTTCAATCTTCTAACTAAGCTATCGTTATACAAAAACTGGAGAGTAGATGTGCTGGTGTATATTCTTTGATAACCTTATCGACAGATTCTGCGTTTAGAAAAATATGATACTAATTTTGCTCTAATTTGAGTAACAATACCTCAATCCAAACACTCTTGACATAGCTTCTCTTCAATATTGTGTCTGGCAACTTAATCAGTTCCCCCAAACTCATTTCTGTCACCGGTTAACTAAATAATTTTGAACGTTATCCCAGATAAGTTCAACCTCGAATCTAAAATAGCCTAACGCAGGCCAGCAGGAAGATCCAGAAAGATATGGCAAGATGAGGTGCGAGAAATATCCTCGGCATTAGGAACTGGAAGAGAACGGCTATGGATATAGATTAGTGGTGGAACGGTTACTTAGTACTCCACCATTCACAAGAATTAGTATCTCTTTTAGGTGTTAGACACTGCATATCAAGTTCAACCCCAATAGGACCTTTTTTTTAATTAAACACAACTTTATTTATACTAGGTTTGTCATTAGCAACCTCATTATAACAATCCCAATACGATATATAAAATCTCTTGTTGTAGTTTCGTCTAATTTTTTTCTCTTCGCTTGTAAATCATCATCACATTCATTACTAACAGAACTGTCGCTGTTATCACTTTCGATTATTAATTAAAGTATCCTCTTTTTAATGCAAAAAGCCGTTTTGAAAAATCGCTTTCAGTTCTTGAGAAATAAATTTTTGAAATGATCGACAATTTTTTCGAATTTTGCAATTTTCGCCGATTAAGTTTTAAAAATTCGTATAAAATCCAGTTGTTGGAATATGAGCATGAAAATTTCCCAAAGTGTTAATTAAAGTGTCCTCTTTCCAATGAACCAACCCGTTTTGAAAAATAATTTTTAGTTTTTGAAAAAACAATATTTTAAGTTTTGATAACTTTCAAAATTCGCTATAAAATTCATTACTTGAGATACATAAATGTTTTAGTTTAAGTTCTGAAATGAAACAATTTTGATTGTCTCAAATTCGTCTGATTCATCTAAACTAAGAAGATTCTAGGTTTATACCTACTTAAAGATTTTGTTAAAAATGAGTAAAAAGGCACGTTTTGTTTATTTTAAGGAAGTTATAAAATTTTACGGTTTTAAAGCCATAAAATAACTTTTACCTACATTACAATAAAATTACCTGTCCAAGAATTTCTGGGTTTTTCCCTTTTGTCTTAAGGATGCTCAAAAAGTGGGGATTTTTTTGAGGATTTCAGTTCGAATCAAAGCTCAAACCCGTCAACACCTAAATTAAAAGTGGCAAAACAAGTAAGTACTAAAATCGTGTTTTTCTAACACATTTTTTAATAAAATTTTGATAGGTACAATGAAGTTAATCCTCTTAATTTTGAGTATAACCCCATTAATATCGTCTGGAGTTTTAAGGGATAAAACTCCTCCCTCAACAATTTCTTCAAACATCGAAAATTTCTTTAAATATTTCGACGACAACAAAGATTCGTTATTTTCAATCTACAAAAACGCTCGATTTATTACGAATATCCTCGAGTACACTAACGCGCCCTTAATGAACACCATCAATGAATTAATTCCCCACGAATCAACCATAATCGGCCGATCAATAAGAAGTTTGGATTCGATTATTAATGAAGTCCAAAATTCAGTTGATTATGTCCCAAAAATGATAAACACCATGATAGTACCTCAAGTGTTGGAAAAATTGAAATTGGGATACGAAGAATTCTTTATTTCCGGATTAGGAACACAAATTATGGAACGAATCGATTTGGAGAAAATTAAAACAATATTTATGGACGAAAAAAGTCGAAATTTTAGTTACGACAAGTTCGTTGAGTTAATGGAAAATCACGCGTTTAGGAAATATTGGATAAATGAGGCTACGAAGGAAATAAGAAGGTTCATTTCGTTTTATGTTGATCCAAAAACACATGAAAAGTAAGTTAAGTTAAGTTTATTTTGTTAAACTAGTATTAGTATTAGTTGTAGTATTATTTTTATTTCAATTTTTAGATACGTTACATTAACTTTAAGCACCATAAACAATTTCATCGGGAAATTTGGTTTTCCCAAAACAAAATTTAATAATCTAAATGAAACTATAATACTTTTCATTAATGATGTTTTTAAAATTGAAAGCGAAAAGTATATTCAGCCGTTATTTAATTACTTCAACAATTTAGTTTCGATTATTAACGATAAAGAAATACTTGAAGAGACTTTAACCAACACCGTAAACATGGATATAATCGAACCAACTTTAAGAGTAAATAGAGCTTATAGATTTATAATCGAAAATCCTTATTGTGATCGATACGTCATGTGCCTCGTAAATGCCGAAGAAAAGGACGATCCTAAATTACCCGGGGTAAAAAAGGTGCTTAGTAAAACTGCTAGTTTGATCGCCAGTTGGTTTTTAGCCGGGAAAAGTCAATCTTCATTTGGAACTTTGTATAAAAATATCGTTGATTTTAATGATTGTAACGAAATTGATGAATCGCGAAATTGTTTACATTTTCACGTCGAAGAAATGAAAGTTAAACAACCTTACATTTATGTACATAAAGAATTGTAAATAAAAATTTTAAGCATTCTTGTCTCTTTTAAAACTAAAAATGGCCGCCATCCTCCCCCTTTTTACCCCCACGGAATCGTTTTGACGATGATTGACATCTCCATGACGTGCGGACCCTTTTCTGTGACACTTTCTGAACAACCACTCTAAATATATTCATTAAACGCCCATCTATTTTCTTTAAATAAAAATGGCGTTAAATAATTTTATCTAATTCCGTTATAAAAATTAAATTTTACGTTTTGTAACGTCACTTTTTTATAACTAGTGATGTAATGATTTCCTTACATCACTAGTTATGTAATTTCCATTATTTAACTACTAAATAAATTGACAACTGTTACTAATAAAATTATATAAAATTTTGTACTTAACACGTTATGAAACGGCTAATTTTGTTTAATAAATAAATAAAATTAATAAAATTAGTCTGTTCATAACTGGTTACGTAAATAACTATTATCTGCTTGTATAAGTCGTCATTACCACACTCATTTGAGGTAATTTGAAGTACGTAATGAAGTTCATTACATCACTGGTTTCATTACATAACGCATTTTTAGCTTAATCAGAACAGACTTAATTTATTGAAACGAGCAATAATACAAAAGAAAAAGTGCTATCTATTTAGTTGTAGATAAAATGTTGTATATCACACGTGGGCTAGAACATAATTACAGTACTCGTGTGATTATGTTTTTAACCCACTTGTAATATAAATAACTATGATAAAATCGTATCTTAAAAGTTATATAAGACAAATTTGAAATAAGTGTGAGTTAAATTTGAGTATTATAAATCTCGTCCTTCGGATATGGCGTAGACGCGACCCTCACACGCGGCGTAGACTCGAAAGAATTAGCATAATCAGAATAATTCCCGGCAGCTGACAGTTTATTTCCACCCCCTCCCCTTTGGTGAACGTTTTTCCTCTTCGAAAAGTTCGAAGAAGTGTTTTCGCTGTTTTAGCAAAGTTATAGCCTCGAAATGCTTTGCATATAGAAGGAGGAAAGGGGGTGAAGGGGGGTGGTAAATGGGGAACGTTAGATATACGCGTCGTGGAAGTTTCGGGAAGTTCGCGGCCCGACACGGGGAAACTATCAAATATTGAAATAAAATTCATCTCCGATATCACAAACAGCTGGCACTTGTTTTAAGAGTTGCGAAAATTCTTCTGGGGGACATATTAAAATTCGTCGTTTCGGGTGAGGGGGCGCGCGCGAACCCGATCGCTATGCCGCATGCATATAACATCAACGCATCCCCCGAAAGTGTTACCCTTCAAAAACCCGACCCCCCGATGGTAACCGTTAAGGGTCTGGATACCCACGTTGAAGGTCCAAGGGTTCAAACACAATGTCGATCGCATAAATGTTTTTCATATTTGAAAATTTTATTTACGACCAAACAATGGTCAGATCGTAATATAACAAAACGATTTAAGAGCACATTTAAGAATTTTAAAATGGGAACATTTACAAATGTCCATTCGAACTTGTTTCAAAATTAATGAAGAAAAATTTAACTACATACGTGTCTCTAAGTTAAATCAAAATCAATAATTACAATTTAATCGATTTTTCAACAACTTATGAACAACACTATGTCAGGAATTGGGAAATACATTTAGTTCTCATCTTAAGAAGGCATTAGACAACACACTACTAATTGCTTATTACAAGGATGCTGATATGCAATCAAACAGTGGACAAGGTTGAACTTGAGATAAAGAAGATGCAGCAAACTTAAAGAAACTTAAAGAAGAATACGAATCCTGGAGTCTTGAAATAAACATAGCGAAGACAAAATACTTAGGCATAAAGATTTATAACAGCTGGATCCAGAATATACCATAAAATAATAGAAGGTTATTGTATTGCTCTGAAACTTGGGACACCTCAAAAGGAAATGACCAAGAAGATGAATGACGAAGCAGCAGAATATTTAGATCCAGCATATTACAAATAGAGATGGAAATAACGATAGTATAAACAGGACCAAGAAGAAAAAAATGTTATGAAATGAGAATTTGAATAGATTTTCAAAAAAAACTGCAAATTTCTTATTTGTAAATGAAAAAATGCTGTTGTGCCTTTGCAAAAATGTTGACCACAAGGTTTTCTTGTTCTTAATAGTCAATCATTAATGGTTGTAAAAGTTGTGTCATATGTGCACAATTCGGGGTAGTAAGTATAACTACTTTTAGGAGTAATTTTTTGGTTCGATACAACAGAAAATAATACTAGAAGGATACAATGCAGTCATCACAAAATTGATGATACCAGTTTTTCAGATGTACAAAATTAAATCCAGCATCTGCTCCACATGGAAGACCAAATAAAAGAAAAAGCAGAAACATTAAACATTCCACAAGATGTTACAATGTTCAAAGATTCGTTATAACTCAAATGGATCAGCCTGGCGAAAGAAACAAATTTTTATGCAACCCAATAGAGCTCAGTAATTTATTTCAGGAAAGGAAATAGGAAGCAGTTATGATCTGGCCAATTTGGTTAGGACAAACTTTTAAAATTTGTCCTTTACTAGTATTTTTGCTTGTGCTAAAAGAAGAATACTTGGCTAAAGCATGGTACACAAGGTACCTCTATTAAGGTGGTCGTTTTGAGTGGTATAATTGGCTTCAGCTATAATTTTGATTTTTGTACTGGATCTATTGAATGTTTAACCCAACAACCTGACCTTGGAGCAACTAGTAAGGTACTTCTCAAGCTGGCAAGTAGACGCGTAAACTGTTTTTTGACAATTGAAACATTTCGAATGAATCGAATCTTAAGAAATAAGAAATGAACAAACTAAGGAGGTGTATTTGTTGAGAAAGTTGGAAACATTTTGAGTATGTCAACCAGTATCTAAAGTTAGATTAGAAGGTAAAAATAATTAAGGAGGTTAAGAACATAGAGATAATTTATATTTTAAATTGAAGTTATAAAATTCTATTTTATGATAAGATATAAAAGTTATAAAAAATAATGTGCTCTTTATACGATATAGATTTGATGCAAATTGGGTTGCAGAACATTTAACTTTTTTCCTCTTCTCCCAGATAACTAAGAAAACTTTAAACGTATTTTATCTACCAAAAAGGAAGTTGAACACAGTAACACAGATACGACTCGGGCATATTACCCCCCACCTCAAATTTCCCTCGAAAACCACCCTGGTTATTCGCACATTGTAAATTTTCCTAGCTATTGAGGTTAGGTGTAACATAATCAAGGACCCAGATAAGCACAGGAGGCGTTAAATACTCGGGTGGTTTCGGGACGTTCCCGAGGAAATGAGAGACGCTTCCCGGAGGGGGTCGGGGATTGGGGGTTGGTCTTTCGGTCGGGGGTGAGTAATGAGCAAGTCTCTATCTAGAGTGCCTCGGCGAAGCGAATCGGGGATCAATGACAAGTGCAGGCGAAGAGAGCGGTTAATAGGTGTTTGTGATAACGGGTTTGCGATAACGATGGGGGTGAAAGCGAGAGGGAGGGGGTTGGTTCGTTCCTGTCGAAGGGAAAACGTTAACAGGGGGTGAGGACGAATATACTCAAAACGGAAAATGCATGATCAATGCGGACGCCCGAAATGTTACAGGAAATTATTCGAGTCGCATTCCTCGACGCTCTTTATTACTCTTGCTTTATCAAGAACCATTCGGAATTTTATATTTTTTTTTTTTGGAAGAGGGTATTAAAATTTATCTATACCGGCTCCTCCACCAAAAATTCGAACAAAAATCTTGATCAATAAACTAAACAATGTTTAGAACAACTAATCAACCCTTTTGGACTCGTCTCTTAGGGCTACTTAGTAATAATCCGGATTTAATGAGGTCTTCTCGACGCTCTAGGGAAAAATTAAATTATTAAAATCTCCCTTCAGCGCCATCCATTGAGATGGAGGGTAAAGCGCGGGGTTCCCCCGGAGGGTTGGCATAGCGAAGACTGCTGCATGATTCCGATTTCGCTCGCCATCCATCTTAGGGCGGGCTATCCTGCTTTTAAAACTGACAGACAACGGAGGGGCTTTTCGCGAGGTCTAAAAAGGAGATCGGCACCACCGGACCTTTCATCCCTCTTTCCGCTTTATTGTCCGCTTATCCCAACCCTGAATATATTTTATTTACTGTTTATCTTTTTTGTTATCAAATAAGTATCGAATTCAAAAGTTGAATCAATACAAAATAAATAGTATGTACTAAATTAAATTTTAGGTTACAATAAACTTTTTCAACACACTTTGAATTAGCAAATGCTTAATAACTAAAACTAGAGCTAATACTAGAACTAGCACTAGACCTGGAACTAGAAATATTCGGGTTTATCCGTACGTCTTTTAAAACGGCTAAACCCAAATATTTCTACTTCTAGGTCTAGTGTTAGTTCTAATGATATGAAACTAGAACTAACACTAGACCTAGAACTAGAAACATTCGGGTTTAGCCGTGCGTCTCGTAAGAGGGCTAAATCCGAATGATTCTAGTTTTAGGTCTAGTGTTAGTTCTAATGATATAAAACTAGAACTAACACTAGACCAATTCAACCTTAAAGATTCTAGTTTGTGATATGATATAAAAACTATATGATAATAGTAATAAAATTTCCAGAAAAATATTATTAAAAAAAAATTATCAAATTTTCAATTCAAAGATAATAAGAAATTTTCAAAAAATCATATTGATCGTATTTTTAAGAATCAAGATATGATATGTATATTAAATTGTAGCCTAAAAATTCTAGTTTATGATGTGATATAAAAATTATTACATAATATTATTAAAATTCCCAGGAAAAAGTTATTAAAGAAGAAATTGTCAAATTTATAAATCAAAAATAATAAGAAATTTTGAAAAAATCATATCGATCGTATTTTTAAGAATTTTGGTATAATATACATGTTATATTGAAGCTTAAAGATTCTAGTTTCTGATATGATATAAAAATTATATGATGATATTATTGAAATATCCAGGAAAAAATTATTAAAGAAGAAAT